GCAGTACGCTCTGTTCCAGCCAGTCAGCGTCACTGTTTACACATTCCCCACGGCCAGGGGTTGATGGAGGAACGCACACGCGCCCATGGATGCGAGGCTTGTACGCAATGGCAGCGATGCATTGCGATCGCCCTCATTTGGTACAGTTACATTGGGGAAACAGTCCCCTTTATTTCTTATTTGTGCAAACGATGTGATGTTCACATTCTAAAATATCAATTAACATGTTCCAAACTACTTATAACCGAGAAACTAAGTTGCCACTAAAAAGTTAAGACGAAACTGCACGTTACAGGCTTTGGCCCACGGCCTTAAACAATTTAGGTTGCATCGTTTCACTCGGAGATTCCTTTTTTTGTATACGCCACGAGATGCAATTAACGCGTCACGCGTTGACAGGTTTTTACAGTGTTCCTATTTCCTATAATCAATTGAAATTGAATTTTACATAGGATTTTTGACCTCTTCTCTCGATCACAGTGAGAAAACAGACATTTGCTCGTAAAATGTGGATGAATGCCATTTACAGTTAATTTTCTTCATGTTCCATATTATAGTATGAACGGATAGATTACGTTTTCGGTGTCAGATGCATCGTCATAAACACGACATATTGCATTCTATACATTCATTAAAGTTGATTCTGTTAAAGAAGTAGATTAAGAAGCATCGCAACTGAAATTGCAGACCCATTCTGCTATAAATGACTGATAGATGATAAGAATGAACCGGTCCTCAAGGTTTTTTCCCCTTTATATTTTACTGGAAACATGGGTAAATAACCGCTGAAATATATAACCTGAACAATTTAGAGTGTTCGACAATGCATTATTTATCCAAATAGTGGATTCTGATAGCGTTTTCAAGAGGTTGAAACAAGAGTCCAATATTCAGCCATGATGCTGGTACCTATTTTATTGCTGTCGTTCGTATTTATTTAAGCTCTAGCAATATTACGCCTTTTATTTTAATAAGGGAATAAATGTGTTTGGCCGGTTTTAAAAAAAGTACGCTTAAAACCGGACAATGGCCCGAGCTGAAGGCGAGGGACATTATCCGCAACTAGGACCAAAGCCGGTTTTAAACATGCTTGTTTAAAACCTGCCAAGTGCATACCTATTCCCATTCATAAATATCGTTTCGGTCAAAAACATCAAAAGTAAAAAAGTACCAAATAATTAGTTCAACTATTTTACTTCGTGTTTTCTAAAAACCCTCCTCTGGCCATATCTATGGTATGTTCCTCGCGCGCGTAGTGCTAAAAATGTTCTATACGGAGATTGACGCTCGTGCGGCGCGTACTGCGTGATGTGGCGCAGAACGCAGCGGTGTTGTACCGCCGGTTTAAAACCACCCACGTGTAAAGCTCTAGACCAATCCAGTGCTTAAGAGTGACGTCATTTCAACTTAACCATTCATACTGCACAAGATGTACCATTGGAACGCATGGAACCGGAAGTAAAGTAAAGTGACGTGTTTAGCCAATGGGTGCTAGTAATATAATTGGTGGTGCGTGCGCGTGTATGACGAAGACAATTAAGAATCGGACAGGAATGGGTAAACTGTCTTCGGTATTTATGTACAGTTGAGTTATAGTATGACATGAAAGAATATCTTAATATCAAGAGACATATGGCACAGTTATCGCACGTACATGTATGTGTCCCAAAATTGGACGGTAAAAATGCGACAGTGCGACTACGAACTAGCCACATGCTGTTTCAGAAACGCTTTGACCGTCTCGTGCGACATTCAATTAAGTCTTTATCAGTGGAATGTGCAGAGTATTTTCCCGGGACGAATTTGCAATCACGCCACTGCGCATGCGCGATTGTTAATTGATGCGCAAACATAATAGGCCCGCCAAGCGCGTGGATGCGTAAGTGCATGGGACACAGTACATTCACCAGACAACTTGAGCACGCTATCACCATACTTTGACCGCTGATTAACTTTTGACAGCTGGACAGTGCCCTTGGATCGTGCCAACACCAAGACGAAATTTATCAAACCTGTAAGTTTTAATTAAAAGCATATCAAGGCAAGCCGAAAAAAACACCACACGAGTGGACGCGAGGGAATCACAGTAGCACTTTAATGAAAAATGCTGAAATTAATGCATCCTGACATTGTCAACCTCTTCATGGTTGTGAACAGTGGCGTATCTAGCGGAGGGAAAAGGAGCAACTCCCCTGGCAATATTTGGCCAATTTCTACAAAGGTAATGATAACACCGCCCCTAGATCTACGATATTAGGTATGAAACAAAATGTACATTGAAACAAAACAAAACGATTGCAGTCTGTTCCTGGAATATTCATCTCTGATGTGCGTCCCTGCTATTACAGTTCAGCTGCTTGCAAATGTGCCAGTTCGTAATACTGCTGTCTGTATACTTTCTGACTGTTCTCTATAAACAGTTCACTGCAACTGGCTGCTCTAAAATACTAGTGTAAACGACGTGTGCACAATTAATGAATTCATTTAAAATCTCAAGTAAGTTACTTCTATCGGTTTTTCAAATTGAGCTCGCAAATGTCCCAAAGTTAATTTGTCCCGGGTGATTAAAATTTCGGCCCAGGGCTCAGCGTCTCGTATGTTGTCAGTGTGCTCGCACACCATTCACAAACCATTCAATTTACTGTATATGAACGGTGTGCAGTTGCAATTTCCCATTAAGGCTGTTCGTTTTGTTAATGGAGCACTAATGGGCACTGAAGGCAATTTAGCATGGGAGATAACTCACAAGAAGGATATTGAAGCTGACCGTCCGAATAATGAAGTATCTGATAAAGGCCATTCGTCAGACAGCTAAAACGAGTAGAACTGGCACATAGGCAGCCATTGCAGGCCAATAGAATACGGTATATATTTTCACACCAAAAGGCTTCTTATAGGGCCTATACATATTATATTCTGAAAATTTGTCTTAATTTACAAAACAGGAACAATCATCGAACTGCCCACATACCCATACGAAGGTTGACGTAAACGCGGCAAAAACTGAGTTGTGTTGACATTTTCAGGAGCAAAATGAAACTATGGATGTGTTCGTAGTGCATGCAGCGTTAATTACTTGGTTTAAGGATGTTTTAGGCTTGTTCCTTTTCCCCCTTGTCTGTTGCGGGTTGCATGCCTTGTTCAGGGTTATTATCTCTTCTGATATAAACATTGCTTTTAGAGGTGTGCCTTTATTTCTTTTCGTTTACTTTCGCTGTTGCTGTAATAAAACCCATAATTACCACAACTGATTGGTCAGTGGCGGATCTAGGTGTGGAGTGCCGTGGCCTCGTAGTGTGGAGCACTGAATTCGTGGTCTGGAGATAATTCTGCAGGTTGTGGGTTCGAGTCTAGCCTCGGATTATGGTGCGGGTGCCCTTGGGCAAGACGCTTTGTCACTCATTGCTTCTCTCCACCCATGAGTGAATGGGTATATCGTTTACATGTGAGGGCTGAGATGGTTATTGTGGTAGGTTTTAGCTGCCTTGCGCCGAAATGGCAGCATCGAGCTGTATATTCCCCAGGGAGCTGAGATGGTCTTCGGAATGTTTTATTGGCCCAATGAGCAGGGTAATAATGATGTAGCGCCTTGAGCACCAGTACTTGTGCATACGTGCGCTTTACACATACGCATTATCTTTATCATCTAAAGGGGGACCCCGTTCAGCCGCTGACTTCTGATTTGATAAAAAATGGGGCCCAAAAATAATGAATGGAATGCAGGAAAAAGCACCGTGAGCTCAAAGTTTTTCGGGGCATGCCCACGGACCCCCTTCGACACACCTTCACCGACCCCTCCCCTTTATAACAACACCTCACCTGTTTCCAGAGAGCTATTTCCGCCCCTGTTGGTAAGTAAACTAAATGAATTGATTTAGAGAGATATTTTGTACACAGTTCTTTGACACCATTGGACCGGTCAAAAGCAAGTTTGCTTTTTCAAGCTGGATCGGATATGAGTTACATTTTGGCTTCAACTTCATAAAAGTGTACACTTTTGTCAATTACTTGAAGCAAAACAAACCGGCATCAGACGAGGCAAATTGGAAGTTTGCTAAAGTATTGTATGCAGTGTATCAAACTGAGGCTAATACAAGTACACAGGTTTTGGGGCTTTAGACCAGTTGATTAGCCCAATGCTCTAGAAAACTTTGTCCGAACCCACGATATTGATCTTAAGGTTTCTTTGACTGGTTGGTTTTTCATGTGTGGTATACACTGCTTTTTAATCTTGATGAATCACTCAGCTTGACTTGTCAATACCATGCAGAATTTAGTGTCGGAGAAAATGTGAACTGTCCCTGTTTTCTTCTAGAGTGCAAGACTTGATAATAAAGGGTATATTACTTAAAATATATCTGGCGGCTTGAGAGTAATTCCGTTGGGATGGATCACAAAATAGTACTTTTATTTTATAAAAATGTAACAATATGGTCATCTCCCGTCCTAATACACCCTCCTGAGTTATTCCACCCTTTGCTATTTGTAAAAGCCTCTTTGGACGGTTACCGCTCGATAGTCAGAAGTTTCGATAGTCCGAAGGTTCGTTAGTCCGCAGGTTCGATATGTGTTCATTAGTCCGAAAATATAGTAAGGTCAAATAATCCAAAGGTTCGATAATCCAAATAGACAAAAAAGTTCGATAGTCCGAATTGACAATCAGGTTTAACAGTCCGAATTGACAGCGTTTGACATTATTGTCGATTCGGACTATTGAACCTAGTGTGCTTTCGGATTAATGAACACTCGGACAATTGAACCGTGTTTTCATTTCGGACTATTGAAACTTCGGACTTATTAACCTTATTCTAAATCCGGACTACCGAACATTCGGACAAATGAACCTTCGGATTATCGAACTTTCTGACTATAACTAATCTTCGGACTATCGCATCCAAGGCTCGGATGAACGAACCTTATTTCATTTTCAGACTAATGAACCCCTTCGGATCAATAAACCTTTGGACATTTGAGTCTTCGGACCTCCTTTTAACACTTACCTGAAGGCCGACCATAATCGATACCATGATAATCTGCTCCTTGGGACTGATAAACCGAGGGCGCTGTGTTGATCTCTTCCCTGCTCGAAAGATCCTGAAGATCCGACTGCATTTCAGCAGAGTCGGCGCGAACGTTAGAGTCAAGCACACGGAGATAACAGTCTGGGCCACAGAGCAAGAGGGATTGCTAGGCCTGATTACCAATGGGAAGATGGTCATATAGGCGAGAACCAGACCGGCTAGATTGACGTAACTCAGCTCCCGGCTGCTGGCTTTGATGCGGGGATGACGCGAGTTGGCCAGCATCCCGACCACCGTCAAGATGGTAAGGATGATCCCAACTCCGGAGAGTAAGATGACGACAAGGATCACGGGTTCGTTGGTGCTGACAGGAATCTCCGGGTAATCATCACAGCGGGTGTAGTTAACGTCCGGCCAGAAGCGCTTGGGGCACTTCTCGCACTGTGTGCCGTTCACTACGATAGCGTCCAAGGGGCATCGGTGGCAACCCCAACAGCAGGCTTCGGATAGCGGCACCGGCACGTAGCCGGGACCACACTTTTCTCGGCAGATCGATTCCGGTATCACGGTCTGGCCGCCGGCCCAGTAGATTCGTGATTCGTTTATCGTCAACCGTACAGTGGCTTTCATGGCGTCCCACTTTCCAACGGGTACCATTCGATATTCTCCATCGATCGGTTGCAGATTCTTAATCTCGTATTTGCCTGGCGGGTCGCCCTTGTCTTCGAACAAAAACCGCCCGCCGTGCTCCTGAAAGTTCACGGCGTTCAGGTGATCCAAGTAAACAGTCCCGTTAAACCGAGGTCTGCAATCGACAGTTATCGTCCCGGAGCAAGAATCTTTTAGTACGGAGTCCAGAGCATAGGCTAAGGCGTACACAGCATCCAGGACTGCAGCAATAGCCTTGTTGCTGAACCCTGCCTCGTGATGTGCTAGGATACAAACCGTCTGCTCTTTGTCATCCGATACGCCAGAGCAGTTGGTCGTACTGAGAAGATACTCCCAATAAGTGTTAAACCAAGGATTCTGACGGTTATTATTAGGTGTCAGTGTCCTGAAGTGTGTCTCAAATATCGGCACGCTGTTGCTCTCCATGTCGATAAATAATCCACCCACAGCAATATCTTCGTTATTAAAATCAGCCAATCGGTGACCCCAGGCATCGCTGGCGATCCAGGTCATGTTACTCGGCAAACCCGACCTTTTCGCCTCGCTCAGAACAGCGTTGGCTACTTGAAATACCGCGAACATCACCGTGACTTTCGATTTGGTGTTCTGCTTGAGCCTTTGCACGACATCGGAGACCTCCCTTTCGCTGGGCGAGGCACGGATAGAAACAGATAACCAGACACAGATACCGTACTCCTCTGCCTTTTGTTGCAGGAGTCTCGCTCCGTTGATGCCGTACTCGTCGGTGGAATACAAAATACTGATGTAGTTCCATTGGAAATGGTCCAGTATGTCGACGATGGCGTCCACTTGGAATCGATCTGGGGCCACCGAGCGGAGGAAGAAGGGGAACTTGACTTTATCGCTTAGCTCATCGCTAGTGGCCGCGTAGGATATCATCGGAATCTGGAAGAGATCAGCCACCGAGGCGGCGGTGAGACTCATAGAGCTCCTCCCGGGCCCAACGATGCCAATAACCCCGCCACTTTGATCAGTATCCTTGGAGGGACAGAGATGGTCGTATAATGGAGTACCCTGACCGTGGATAAGAGACATGGCCGTCCACAGGGCTAAATCTTCCGACAGACAATCGTCCCTGATATCGAATCCCAGCGTGACATTCGGCAAGATGTCAGTCCGGTTATTAATTTCATCCACGGCAAAGACCATGCTCTCTACAACGTACATGATGAACGAGTACAACTTTGGACTGCAGCGATCTCCCTCAGGGGCGCGGGAGTCCAGGTGAACGGAGAACATCCCGCCGAGATTGTAGTCACCATGCCGGGCGTAGTTCACGCACGACAGGGCCGGCACCGCTAGTGCTCTTCGATCCGCTAAAATCGTGACCAGCGTCACTAAAACTGAGTCAAGTATCAAATACATGGCAATGGCACGAGAAATTAACGTTGGCAATATTCTCCCCTGAATTCGCTGCGTCTCCGTCCAGACTTCAGCATTGTAGTTCGCTCCAGCCTATTAAGGAGGAAATGCGACCGGACGACATGGTGAAAGGCGAGCGGATTTCATCATAATGGTGCGAGGTTAAAGCTGAATGTGTTTAAACCTGGCGTGTTGACGCGCTAATGTTTTCATCCAGCGAGAGAGACGGCAGCAGTCAGTGATAATCGTATTTGGTAGGTGACTGCGAGATGGACTCGGCGATTTTGCCGGTAGGGGTTGACACACAGAAGCGAGGTTGGTGACGGCGAAACTACACACGCGGGAACGCCTGGAACGCACGAAGTCAGCTCAGAGGCAACGGGTGTGACAAATAATTTGATCAGGAAAACTAAAACTTGGAGGTGAAGACCTGGGATATTAAATGTCTTTACACAGGTGAGATTTGCAAATAAGTGAGATGAATTCATTGCTTGCCGACGGTACTTCATTTCTACTTTCAATATACCTAAGTCAACATGTTCTGAATTGACTGTATTTATTTAAAATCCCTGCATATATTGCCGCCCTGAGGGGTGCACCCTATTATGGTCCCGCATGGCTAGCCAGGAAAGTTCAGACTTCGGGTGAACGGTTACGAATTGTAAGAACGGATTTTAAATTTCGTTGTAGAGTTACCTTAAAGTCATCCATCATAGGATGCTTCGCGTGTTAGGTATCAAATTAGCTAACTGCTTTTATACTAGGTAATGTTTTGGATCGAGCTGATGAGGGTTTTTAAGTTACAACAGAAAGGAAAAATATTTCATGTGTACATTCTCTGCATTAGCTGGCATTGAATTGGATTAGATTGGACTGGATTAGATTGGAATGGTTTAGATTGGATTGGATGGGATTGAATTGGATTGAAATCGATGGTTTGATTGGACATGATTGGATAAGATTAGCTTTGATTTGATTTGATTTGATTGGAAATGGTTAAATTAAAGTAGAATGGATGCAATGGATTGGGTTAGCTTAGATTGGATTGGATTAGTTTGGATTGGATTGATAAGCTTGGATTGGATTGGATTGGATTGCATGGGATTCAATTGGATTTGATGGGATTAAATATTAAAATTGATTTGATGTGATTAGATTAGATTAAATTGGATGCGATGGATTGGATTGGATGGATTTGATTTGATTTGATTTGATTTGATTTGATTTGATTTGACTTGATTTGATTTGATTCGATTCGATTTGATTTGATTGGATGGGATTGGAATGGATCGGATGGAATTGGATTCGTTAAAAACAATCGGTGTGTGTGCATGTATCCATACCGTGCACAGGGTTGAGATGTTCTCATTATACTGGACTATTCGTGTATGTGCTTGTTCGCTTTTCTTCAAGAGCCAAACCCGACGCACACCTTCCCCATTTTACCGGTTTACGGATCACCCCATCACCGGTACGGTTTTTTTCACAGTTGTGGTTAGACCGTAACGTTACCCGCACACATGCCCGGTTCCGCCCTATGGGTGCACGCCTGTAAATAGACCAAAAATCCGTCCGCCGAGCTCATAAATAAAAGTTATACCCTCAAAATATTCTATATTAGAGAGTTCTGAGAACCATGGAATTGGGGAATTGAAGACATGTGGCACTGAACCTCTGGCCTGGACTTGGAGCTTCCAATTCTGAGCATTTTGGATGCAATCTGGCCCGAAAGTGGCGCTATTTAGCCATGTTGTGGAGGGATTCTTTTTCAAAATGGCTACTTTTCCAGTTCGGGAAACATCATTCGTTTTAGGGGTGTTCTTATTTGGGTGAGAATATCTCAAAAAGTCAATGGTCAACCCACCCAAAATTGAAAAGAAAATGAAAGATGACATGTTGATCATCATTTTTCTGTGCAGCTTGAATACCTGTGAGAGTTCTGAGTATTTTTAAATGAATTTTGAAGTATGGACATTTAGCACTAGTGTCTATGGGAATTTATTTGCAGGCGCGCACCCTATAGATCCTGAGTGGTGGCGGCCATGTTGTTATGACGGGGGATTTCAACGTGTGCTTTTTATTGCTGTAAGTACAAAATAAGCTTAAATTGAGTTAAAATAAATATGAAAACAAACATTTTACACTCTGTATCTTTGATTTTTCAGGTTTTTATTCAAAACACACTGTGGAAGTTAGCATTTACATGTAAGTGAACCGTTAAAAAAATGTAAACAATGAGTCATTCACCCCAGTCTGTGCATGTTCTTATTTTGTTTCCATTTCGGGGTATTTTAATTGGTTATTATTGAAATCGAACACAGAGAAGGCACAGTTCTTTCTTTATTCAGACAAAAATAAGTGAATAATATTGTTTGTACTTGTTTGAGCTTGTACAAATCAAATTTTGACTTGTAATAAAATGGATGGTGAAGGGTGGACATTCACATCCAAGGTAAAAAACTTTTAGCCAATGGATTTCTGGGCTCCTGAAAAACACTGAGACAAAATGGCCGACATGGAGTCGTGGTGCGCCAGAATTAAATGGGCGATTGCAAAAAAGAGCAGATTTCAGCCTTCAAAAGGATGCCGGCTTTGGCGGGGATGCATAAAAAAATCCTATGGCATCATTTCAATGAAAATGCCAGGCTCGAACAAACGCACTCTGAAGTCTGTGCACAGGGCGGCTTACATGGCACACACCGGAAATGTAAATTTGCCACGGGAGTGGGATGTAAGTCACCTGTGCCAGAATTCATTGTGCGTTTGTTTCGAGCATTTGTCCCTTGAACCTAGGGCTGTAAATAATAGCAGAAAAGTCTGCAAACGACTCAAGCAGTGCCAAGGGCACGATGGGTACCGGGAGTGCCTGCTTTAAGGTATCGTAATGAACAATAAATTTGTCAGTTACATTCCAAAAACATAATTTAAAAACGTTTGCAGTAATTGTGTTCAGATTGGATGATGTGGCAGACATTTTTCAAACCATCGTCTGGCTTAGGATCCAGTTGGCCGCGTTTATACAGTGGCCGTGTGGCATAATACAGCTGGAATCTTTGAGAACGCAATTGTGCTCTGCGTGTTTTGTACTCCTGACCTTTAGCACGTTTAACATACTGTTTTTGTTTCTTATCCATTTCAGCAAGGGCTTTTGCAGCTGGGGAGCCTGCAGTTACTGGGCAACCAGCAGCTGCGCACTTTTTGACTATTGAATTGGCGTGTCTGTTATTCACCAAGTGCACTGCGCTATGGTCTCGACAAGAACCATTTCTTGAGAAGGTTAGTGTGGCCTTAGGGTTGGTTACTGCAAAGGCATGGTTCATTGATTCTGCTTTTTGAGTACTGGTGCCATATTTAGTTTTTTCAAGGGCTTCTTGGCCAAGTCGTTTGCCTAGGAGTTTGATGAGAGTCTGTTCATCACAAGTTGCTAATTTCAGTTTGCCACGGGCATCGACTGGCAGGTATGGAAACCGATATTTACCACCCATACAAATTTGGGACCACTTTTTGCAGAGGCCGTGATTCCCCATGTAACATTGAACAATGGCACTTGCTGCATTTCTAGCCATGGTCGTCATTTGGGAAGAGTTCCCACCGCTTTTTTTCAGTATAGCAGCAGCCTCGGCCTGTGCCCTATGGCTGACGTCATCGGCAAATCGATCTTGAATGTTTTTCTTTGCTCTTTTATTTTTGCCTGGAAACATCTCTTTACTGAATTTTGCACGACTTATGGCCGCACAGAGTGATCGGTTTAAATGAGGCGGATCTAACGAATGTTCAGTTTCCATACCTGCCACCTTACTTTGCATATATGATCTCATACCCCGTGCCAGACAACCGTCGGCATCTGTTGTCACCCTATTTACAAACAAAGGTTCTTTACAGTTTAAAAGTTTTTGGGCGCACTGAATGCCCCCGTTGCGCTCATCTCCCATATTGAAGTTCGGTGGACGAGTGGCCGTGCATTTCCCTGCGTGCTTGTGATCCCTCGCTCCGTCAATGTCACATTTTTTGCAAAGTTTGTTCTCCTGGTGGTACATGACAACATACTTGCTGGTTGTCACATTTTCAACGACAACATCTCTTGTCTGGGTGGCTGCGACGAAGGGTGTTTTCTTGCGACAGTTTCGAAGGGGATTATTATATTGTCTGTCAGTTTCCACTGCAATTGCGCTGTGTCTCTCGTAACCCTGCAGTTCATGAATGTCTTTCACGATTTTTCTCTTGTTGCACATGTCCGTTTCATTTTCTGTGGTGATAATTTCACCACATTTGTTTGATGTACTTTGCAGGCTACTTATCGAGGGAACAGTTGTGTCCATTGCAGACAACAGCCGCCTAGCCCCAGCAGCTGCAATGCCGGTGTTGTAAAGACCAACCTGGAACGCCATGTTGGGAGTGGCAGTCCGTCGTCCTCTCCCCGTCTGTGGAATTTCGGTGAACAGTTTTGTCTTGTCAGTGCAGAACCCACACTTTTGGCAGGACAGTACCTCGGACACAGCCAAACCTCGTCGCTCCTCAGCATCTGGCATCAATGTGGGCCGGCCGCTGCAATCAGGATGTGTGCGTTGGTGATCTAGGATAGCCTGCGCTCCCAAGTCGACTGCAGAATTGATGTCGACGAACCGGTAGGCTGCTCGCTTCCCTCCATCTGACTGATCAGCTGGGCTCTGGTGCTGGAGTTCTCTTCTACAGAGGGGCTGTGGTACTGCTTCCTTCTTGAGTTGGAGTTTGTCAAGGGGAGTAGTTTCAGCAGCGTTTGGTCGAAGCAGCATGACTTTCCTTGTCGGCACTGCATTGGGCGTGGTACAGATGAACCCCCGCTCATCTCTTTCAACAGCAAGTTGCATCTGCTGTTGTGTTGGCCTTGTGTACACTGTTGGTGAGTTCATCTGAAAATGACTGATTGGGGATTTACACTTTGCAGGGAATAGTTTATGGCCATTCTGGAACCAGCTTTTCTTCCTTTTGTACACTGCTCGTCCCAATCGACCCATACTGAAACTGCTGCAGAAATAGCTGGTTTTGCAAAATTGAGATTGTTTTTCCCCTGTGTGAGCATGTGACAGAATGCATGTGGTCACACTAACTCTCAATGCCAGAGTGATGACTATACAGCACAAGTTTGGTTAATAATTCAGAAGCCAGTCTGTACAGAGAGTTTATTTCTGTTGTTATTTTATGGGGGGGGGGGGGGGGGTGGGGGGGATGGAAGATAGGTGTTTTACAATGGAATCTTTGGAGACA